TAACCATCAGGTAGCTTACCTAAAGGAACAATCGGCCCTATGCGAAATGACTGAAGCCATGGCCATGCCGCAAATTGCGATTTCCGTTGAAATCAAAAAATTTACTATAATCTTATTTCGGAAACGAGAGTGACAATCCGCATTAATATCTTGAGTTGTATTTCATGACATTCTTTTTGAGAAAATTTTACTCGATACTCTATAGTATATGTGACGTGAACTATAGGTATTGAGTAAAATTTTCCTCAAAAAGAAATTTTGGAATGCAACCCTAAAAAGATGCTTTTATTTCCAATTCTCATTAGTCATACGATGTCCAATATTTGGTATTTGTTACTCGCAACTGAAATTGCTAGTATTCGATGGCAGTAAAACTACTTCTACAGGGTGTAGAAGTAATTTTACTGCCATCGAATACTAGCAATTTCAGTTGCGAGTAACAAATACCAAATATTGGACATCGTACGACTAATGCGAAAACTTCTCCAGTGAAAAGGGGCTCATCAATGTGACGCTGGAGGCGTCTTACGAAGATACAAAACAATCGTGACATTTCGATTATAGAACAGAAAACGAGCGAAAAATGTGATGTTCTAATCGAAGAGATTTCGTAAGAGTCGAAGACGATTGTTTATCTAGGAGCCTAATCTCAACCAACAGTCGCACTTTCATCCTCATATGAAAGTGAATCAAATCTCGATAAGAGAGCGATTGATTTATCCTTACCGAAAGTCATCCCGCTTGGTTAGCACTGGCGCAGACTGCTACGTGATTCTCTTTCTCTTTCCCTCCCTTTTTTTCGTCTCTCTCTCTCTCTCTCTCTCTCTCTCTCTCTCTCTCTATATATATATATATATATATATATATATATATATATATATATCACATCCTTTTTCTCTCTCTACATTTTCTTCATCTTAAAACCAAGTCATAAGATGAAAAAACATATCACAGAACGAAAAAAACATAAGAATATTACTCTCACAAAAACAACACAACACAAAACATAAGAATATTACTCTCTCAAAAAAACATAAGAATATTACTCTCACAACATGCAGACTAAAGCATTGAGAACGATACTGTGAAGTACTACACTACTTTTAATTACTACAATAGATATTTATGCTACATGCAAGTGTCGGTAGACAAAGTTCTCTCTCTCACTCTCCTTAGCAATGTGTCAGTAGGACAATATGTAATTTTCTTTTTGACAAGAAAATGGAACGGGCAATTACCTGTGTTTCATTGACCCGGTCAACCGACGTTGTTTAAAACCGGCGACTCGCGTGCGTCGGTGAATCGACCAATTACCAATTACGATCGGGCAACATCAAGGTCGGATTCGCGTCGTGTCCGGTCGCACGGGCGACCGGCGTTGTGTCGTCGTCTTGGTCAGGGCCCATTGGACCACGGTGGGTCCATTAAAGAGAGCGACTCGGAGGGAAGCGCGGCACTTTGAAGGAACCGGCAATTCGTACGTCCCACTGTCTTGCCATTTGTGAAACGCATTCGGCGCTTCGTACTTCTCGAGATCTACACAATGACCGTTATTTGAGCCGTTCGCATTGTCGCAATGTATTGCAACGTCCGACGCAGGCGACATTATCTGGGAGCCGCGTGGTACTCGACGTCTCTAGCGCTAAGCCTATTCTTTAATCTTCTGAGTCCTTTAACCTTTTGCGAGAACGTTATTTTAAATATAAATCTACGTTAGTCTGATAGTTTACAAACTTAATCCTCATATAGTATGCATGTTTTGGTCACACATCTTTTAATTTGTCATACTGGTCGTTTTCATTCTCGCTTATTAAAATCCAATGCAAAAGAACCAGTCGTAATTTTAAAAAATTGTAAATGTGCTTTATAGTTTGTGGAATATAATAATGCAAAGAAATGTTTACATCGATAGTTTTCATGGAGGACGAAATAATACAATTTAATACGAAATGGAACGTTAATCTCTAAATAACAACGAAAAATTTTGGCCAACACCCATTTAACGCAAAGGATTCATAGGAACGCAGGTATATCGCAGTTGATTCGCGATGAAAATCGGGAAATTAATCAAAAGAGAATTGATCGCGAAATGACGCTCAACAATTCCGTCGGGAGATTGAAACGAATGTATTAAATCGGCAAATCGAGTCATACCGCGCGACATCAATGCGTGTCGGGTCTTAAATATTTAAATATCCCGTTTGTATCTCGCGCCCTGCCGACTGTATTGCACCTTTAAATAAAACGAGTTTTCAAGACCAGCTGCGCACGTGTTATTTTCGGAGTTCCGAACGCGTATTTCTCTGGAGGAAGCTGCGGAACGATAAACAGATCCGCAGCGAGAGAATTCACTATCCACTATCACCGCTACCCACGTATCACACGACCGATCCCTCAAATACTCTCGCGGCTCCCTCAGCGAGAGCGGCTTGAAGCACCTGCGGGCAGACACTACCCCGTGCCGCTCTCACGCGACACGCTTTCAAGGCAGGAGAGACAAAAGGAGAGATAGAGAAAGTGCGGAGCTAAAAGGAACGTCCGTGGTGATCGATCTCTCATCAAAGGCCAGACGTGCATACTGCGGCGCGTTATGCCAGGCATCCGCCGGCGTCTTGACCCTTGCACCGCGTTCTCGCGCCTCTATCGCGCGCCAAAAGTAAAGGACCTCGGCACGACTCGACGGGGTGATTCGTTACAACAAGAGAACCGGGGATGTACCGAGATTATATTAACTGGTGGAAGTAAATATCGCGCTGCGAACAAACGGACGAGAGGCGTGTCGAGTGATTTTTCGCGCATCAGGACTAAAGCGAGAGTGAAAAGGAGCGAGTCGAGGAGAGGAGGAGGAAGATGACGTCCGTCCTTGTGGAATTCGAACGAGCATGCATCTCGTGAGAGACCTCGTCGGAAACACGGAAACAGGTAACTGGCGGGCACGATTTTCCTCTTTCGCGAGATAAACGATACTCGCTCGGAGGAACGCAGATTGAATCATCAAGTTTGAAATTATCATTACTTCTATTTCGTAAGTCATTCCAGAAACATTTACGTGTAGAATTTTGCAAAGAAAAAAAGCAAAGATACATTTTGCCCGTCGAATTCATGTAATTCATCAATTACACTCTCATATGTAATCGAGAATTAATAACGTTACGCCGTATATGTAACGTATCATTTGATTGCTTTCCTGATTGCGTTTGAAGAAAAGTGTTCAAATCATCTCACAGTCGAAGGCAACATACGTAAAACGCCGTGATCGTGATATTAACCCTGCATTTTTTGTTCAGCTGACGAACGTTAGTGCTTTCGTATGGTCGAAAAAAATATTATTAATTAAATTTTATTAATCTATTAGTAATTAAATAATTGCATATAATAATTAAATATATATATTAAATGAAAATTGAATTATTACTGCATTAATACAGCTTCATAAAAACAAGTAGATGTAGCAAAACATTGGTTTATATTATCGATCTATCAGAGTAAAGTTCAAATTTGATAACAGCGCAAGTCACTTCAATTTTATGCATTTGACCTCGTTATGAGCGCGCGTCAATACTTTCACAGTCCATTAACAAAAATTAAGTTAACGAAATTAAGAAAATTGAAATATAATCTAAAAGGTTATAATGAAAAGACAAAAAGTTCCAAAGCCAACCATTAAGCCATGTTAAAAGTTAAAAATAATTATATTTAGAAAATTATGATTATTATGATAATTAATTATGATAATTAGAAAATAAAATGTCAATTGAGCGTTCGCCTCATACGAGGGCAATGGAGGACTAATATCTATTAACTAAAATTATACAAACGAAGTTAAGAAAACAATTATAGAAATATAATTTGAAAAATTGAAAATCAAAGGCAAGTTTCAAAGTCAACTATTAAGCCATCTTCAAGATTAAAAATGATTATAATTAGGAAATTATATATTTAGAAAATAAAATTTCTACTGAGCGTTCGTCTTATACGAGAGCAATAGAGGGTTGATTGGCGATACGCGCTTCCGCGTCCGCGATTCTCGTCGATCAAAACAAACCATCGATTATTCGCCGGGGTTCGCGGAAAATCGAGTCATACCTTCGCGGTTAATTCACTGAGGAATGTCAGCGCGTCTGCAATCGCGGGAATTCAGCGACGTGGAGGAGCCCGCGCATATTCGCCGCCTGAGAATACACGTTGCACCACATGTCGACATCGCGCGCTCGGGCAAGCCCGTAAACAGTGGCTCGCAATTTGATATTGATAACGTCAAGTGTTTCGCGAATGGGCGTGGAGTAAGTCTCTAAATGCGTGAATGTTTCCAAAATGACGATTGCGAAATTGTTTTGCAACGATAATTTCAGACGTGATGACTTAATGATGTTTATCCCTCCGATTGGAGGAAATCGCAGCCGCGAGTTTTGTTTCCGTGTTATGCCCGACGAGGTAACTCACGAGGCATGCTTGATTGAATTCTTGAATAGACGTCATTTTCCTTCTTTCTTTCCTCGACTCGCTTTGTTCTCGCCTGTAATTCCGATGCGCGAAAAACGACACGCCATCGAATTTGAGGGCCGTCGCGGGCAGAGACAGTGGGAAAGCCTTCCGCGACCCGGCTATAAATACGTCACCTTGGTCTTTTTCGCGGTGCGCGTGCAGCTCGTTGCCCGTATATCTCCGCTTCTTGAGGCAATTTAAAAAAAGCATCTATCATTGCGCGCGGCTTATTCGAGCTACGTGAGTCGCGCCGTACCTCTTCGCAGAGAATTACTATAGTTAGACGGCGCACACGTGCCTTGCGAAACAGCATGGACAATGAGCCGGTCAAGACATCGAGTCTAGATATCGGATATTTAATGATGGAGGACTTTCTATTTTCCTACTAATACCTAAACTTCACGAGATTCTAAGGGAACAATGACACGCCCCTTTTGCACAAACTCAGTAAGGTAAAAGTACCAATGCCCCGACACATATCTAATGTTGGAAATTCTTTTTGTTTTCGTCTTTAGATACAAATGCCACGGACGGAATGAGAGGGAAAGAACACAGAAGATGCGCGCGAAATCGCGCGATATACGTGGCGGAGATGAGCGGCGTCTCAGCGGGAGATCTGCGATTCGCGAGTCGACGGATGACTTTTCTTAGCCTCGACACAGTTGCGGCCGAGCGCGCGAAGACACGGCGCGACGAGATGCTTCTCAACGCTAGTCGATGCGGATCGACACGACCTATCGACTGGTGCCGATGATGACGATGACGGCGACGGTGACAGTGGCCGGCAAACGCTGGCGTCACTGAGAGAGAAGCAGCGTCGGGTGGTCGGCAATTAAGTCACATTTACGTGCCCCGCGCAACATTCCCCGTCAATATTGACTCAGGACAGGGGAATACACGACGATGCGGCGCAAATCAGCTTCACCGTCCGTGCTATTTCTTCGCGAAGTACGTACGAGTGCGCTCGATATCTCGCGCGCGTATTGTGCATTGAACGCGGCCGGTTGTTGTTGTGCATAACGAGAGAAAAGAGGTAAAAATTATCAGCAGAGAAGCCGGACTACACAAGCGTGAGTGCGTATGTGCATGAGAGCGTGCGTGCTGCATACGAAAAAGCCCATTGAGAAGGAACGTCATGCTTTTAATGGCTGTTGAGCGAGAACGGCGAGACGGTTTCGCTGAAACGCGTCTTCAATGGGGGGAGAGATGCACTGCAAATATCCTTGGAGTCTGCGAAATAACGTCGGAGAAAATTCATAGAGGACTCACCCACCATGCCCGGCACGGCACATTTACAAGTTAAACAGATTTTAAGAACATTACAGGGACGGGAAATACTTCTTCTCCTCGTGGAGAGGTTCACGTGTGCATCTCCCCGCCCGCGGTAAATAAACTATAGATCTATACGCGGGACAATGTTCTCCCGTGAGAATTTGCACAACGGTCTGGAGCGTCGAGTTCGAAGTTAAACGATATACTATACTTCGAACGGCGTGGCGTATTAAATAATCGCGATACTACGATATTGCTGAGGAGGTTTGAGATGTGAGACACATTGTCACAAGAAATCCTGTGTAAAATACATCAGGACCCGTGTATGACTACCGTACTACAATTTTACTACTATCTTTACTACTGAACTACAATCTACTGAAATACGATGATGATGGAAGACGAAACAACGAAAGTTTTAGTATAAAGTATTAAAGACGTTATTTGAAGAACAAAGCAAAGATGAAAGCCCAATATTAAAACACTACTGTTATACATATAAGTGTATTCGATAAGTGGTACTCAATGACTCACCAGACTCGGAAGGTGTTTGTATTCCTAAACACTCCAAGTTGTGTGGTGGTTGGTTCTGATAGTAGGAGTGGTCGTTCAGGCAAAAGTTTGTGGTTTGTCCTGTTATTATTTGTTCACAGGACGATGTTTGATTCACTCGATTTTTAACTTCGTAATATAGTTTAGTGTTTTCGAGCGGCTCACTAGTATCTCTTAGTCCGTTGTTCACTATAGGCTCGTTTGATACCGGCGGCGTTAGTAAAACACTCGCGACTGGATGCTGATCCTTGTTCTGATCACGTTGGTCGGTCGACTCCTCAGCAGAATCCTCATCGCTTTCCGATTCGCTGCTAGAATCTGTGTCTGAACTATTTGATGCTTCCAATCGGGTGTCCTCGCTCGTTACACTTTCCCGTTGGTGCTGTATCTCAAGCTGTTTCTGCAACTGTTGCTCAAACTCCAACTGTTGCTTCTGCAGCTGAATTAGTTGTTGCAATTGTTCATGCATGTATTGCGAATGAACTTTTTGAGATGGTTGCTCCAGTTTCTGATCGTTATCTTGGGCTTCTTCGTCTGGTAAGTTCAAGTCTTCTATATTTATGTCTGTCCGGTACCCTTTTCTTTGCATACTTTCGAAGAACATCCAGATTTCTAGAGTTTTCATAGACGGCCGGGATTCTTCGTCCTCTTCTACGGGCAACGTATCCGTTTTTGCAGGAGGATTTTGTAGGAGGACACTTATACACGGGTTTTCTTTAGAGCAATGTCCGAGCACCACGCACGAAACGCATCGGTCACGTATCAGAAGATTCCCGCAATATCTCTCTAAATCATCCACGAACACTTCCCCGAGAGATTTCTTCACCAAAGGTTTTGGTATCCAAGGAAAGTGTGACTCCGGCTCGCCATGTTTCTTCAAATATTTCCAACGTCCAAATATTTTACTGACGTTTTCTCGCGTTTCCTCGTATGTGGATGTCTGTGTGTAATTCCTGTTACGATAACGTCTTTGTATTCTTTTGAGCTCATCCTCTGAAAAAACAAACATACATTTTGCCCATTAAATTCACGGCCTCATGTATAATCAATGATTAATAACGTAATGCGCTACATGTAACATAGTGGAGAGAAACAGAACGAGAGACGAAACATCGATGAGATTTTTCTTTCTCGTGTATCAGATTTATCGAAAAATGTGATCTTTGTAAAATAAATAACAGCCAAACAGCCAACAGTCACTGCTCTTCGTCGAAAAGCGCACACTGAACCTTTTTATTGACCTAATTTTGTAATTTGATATGTAATTTACATGTAATAATGATATAGCGTGTCTCTGCTGATAAGCATGATATCCATCATGTGCTTGTGGATTAGATCAAGCAAAAAGTTCTCTAACATTAACATTTTGCACATAAACAATCGCGTACAAATTTTGAGTTATTAATTAAAGAAGACTTGCGATTAATAGCTGCACTTCTTTATATCATTTATCTTCTTCAATCAATGTATAGTTGAGTTTCATTAAACAGAGTCAATCTGACACAAAAGTCGAGACGAGCTCTTCTCAACTGACTCAATACATAACAATGTGATATAAACTGATATGTTATAACGCGTTTATGCGATTACCGTCACACACGTGATCGATCAAATCGGCAAATCAACGCCACGCGTAGGTGACACATTGAAAAATAATATTTGGTAGTGTCCATCCACCCTGTATAATATAGTTACTAAATGCTTTGGTGAAATAATTTCAACATAATATATAAATGAATATAATCAAATAATTTGGTAAGAATTAGCAAATAACTTTAGCAAGGTTTGATATCTGTTACCAAACTTCGTATCTGCTATCAAGCCATGGTAACTATTACATTTTATGTGATACGTATTACCAAACAATTTGCTAAATAAAATTATATTATTTAGTAATATTGTTAGATTAATGCAATATCTTAAAACAGAGTTTTACCAAATAGTTTGGTAATTATCAAACTATTTGGTAATTATTACTAAATTATTTGATATTAATTACTAAATCATTTGATTAGATCAATTAATTAAAGATTTTGCTTTATTACTTATTTTGTAATTATCATCAAATAGTTACTTATAACTAGTAACTATTACCATATTTAATACTCATTCAAAGACCGCACTAATACGTTTAACTAAATGCATTTATTAACTATCACTCTTTCTTTTCAATGCATTGATTTAACCAGGATATTTAATTGCTACGTTTCTGATGAATTTCTCCTGTTATGAGTACGCACGAACCGAATGACGATGAAGTAGGAAACCATCGAACGGCGTTGGGTGTTAAAGAAAAACTGTTTCGACTGGCTATCGAAAAAAGACCAAGCTGCTCTCGTTGATCGCTCCGAACGCGCAAACGATCACATATATAAACAGCCGCGTGTTGCCAAACGAACCTGCCGAAACGTCGTTTCGCGCGCACTGCTTTCATGTAATATTTATCAAAATTCGAGTACGTTTGCGACGAGGTGAAGGAAGACGCGCCGAATAAAATGTGTAACGAGAAATTTATTTTATTGTATAATGTGACAAGAAATTTATATTATTGTACAATGCGACAAGAAATTTACATTATTGTACGACATGAACTTAATGATTAATGTAATGCAATATATTTGTTTAATAAATGTCGTTAAAGGAGTTTGTCGAGTTACCATCATTACGTCTGACATTGTGATAATCACGAAAGTTTATTTAGTCGAAAATTTGTCGGAAATTACAACGATATTTCGCGACACAAATAAGCGTGATCATTAGTTTGCCACCACAAATTTTCATTCTTTCCATTCTGTTTACAATCTCACTCATTTAGAATTCGTGTTGCAACATATTCAGTAATCGGAGCAGAGACAATCCATAACTCGAAATCGCACAATTTGCAAGTATTAAAACATATGTAAAAGTGGGTCACTATAGTACAAATAATGTAGGTACAGAATTCAAATTGAATATGAAATATTATATTTTAACATTGAAAACCACAATGAGGAATCGTACTTCGCGAATAGAATGAGGAAACAAGAGAAAATCTTATTGATGTTGGTTGATTGATAAAATAAAAATTTTCGAGAAGCATATGTGTGTGTGTGTGTGTGTGTGTGTGTGTGTGTGTGTGTGTGTGTGTGTGTGTGCGCGCGCGCGTGACGTGTTGCACTCAGAAAAGAAAATGGTTGATCTAATTAAAATTATAGTTATTTTTGGTTCTAATAATATTTTTTACAGTGAAATGAGAATAATAACATGCATATAAGATTATTACCACTAACATATAATAGAATTTAACTAAAAAAGTTGTTTCCTTGACTATAATTTAGAGTAATTATTTTTTTGTATGCTTATAGTTACAAATACCAAAAAATTTTTTCTCAATACGTAGTGATAGGGATTTTCAACGTAGCAAGACCTCAAATAATCACCGAACTGTATAAGGTCTATTAGAGGCCTAATTGATTCACATTTGTGTATGTGTGTGTGTGTTTGACGAAATTAAATTAAATGGAATATAAATACGACTGCTAATCTGATAATGCCAGTGTAATCAATTAGATGCGTCGCGTGAATATGCACGGTCGTTGCACTTATCTCAGGTATTCCGACGGTATCTCTTCCCCCTTTCTCCCCATTTTACACACTCAATGTACTATTACCAACATACTAAAAAGAATTTGAAAATTTATATATTTATTATTTATATATTAGGATATAAAGTTCCTCACAGAAATAAATTTTATTTCACAGAAACAGAAACAGAACTATATATACCGCAAATAAATTTTTTAATATTTTTTCCGCAGTGCGCTATCCTTTTCAACTTGAAATCTCCGCGATAAAGGATGATACGATCAACATTCAACTTTAATGAGCGACTAGCGTTTTCCTCTTTTAACTTCCTTCTTCTACGAATCTTCTAACGAGTCAATCGTTAATTAGTAATTAATTTTTTTACTTACACTGTAAAAAGGATACTTGAAAGTTTATTTGCGGAATATAAAATTTATTGATAGAAATCAATTTTATATCCTACGAATAAACTTTCAAGTATTTGTCTCTCAGTGTATAAACGTACCGGTTTACCGTACAATGAGAACAAATATATGAAAATTTATTTATGGGCCATAAAGACTATTCACAGAACTAAACTTTACCCCGCAGAAATAAACATTATTTCACAGAAATAAACTTCATATCCAGCAAAATAGATTTTCAAGTATTTTCCCTCAGTGTACACTTGGCGCACATCGGCTCGGCAATCGAAATGATTTATCGTGCTCGCTGTTTGCGAGAGATCTGTTCGTTAATAAAATCTAAATATACCATTTAATATCCCGCGTCGATTAAATTCAATTTCCCGCCACCGGAATTTATCTCGTTTATTCTCCGCTTGTACACTTCGAAGGACGCGCGCTATCACGGTCGGTGTCTCTCTCCCCCTTAGGAAAAGCAATTTCACCGACGGCGCAAAAAAAGGCACGCCGAGTCCGAATCGCCCGGTGTCGGTGAGAGAAATTATTCGAGCGATCTGATAAAGAGCGTGACCGCTTTCGTCCGGACTTTCGAAAATGTACGACGCACACGCGTGCACGCACACGTGCACACGCACGTACACCCGCGACACACGTTTGCGCCCCGTGTGATCGAACCTCTTTGCCTGCCTACACACGTCGCGAAAACCGGTCCCCGGCTTTAGATAAGCAGGTATGCCCGGCTTCCGCCGAACATTATCGCTCGAGCGTGTAACGAGTCGACAACTTTTCCGCTAGATCGCTAATTAAGGGCGAGCCGTTACGAAAAGTCGCGCCGGAACGGCGGGAAGTCGTCCGGCCGATTATTGACAGCAGAAACAGACGGGCGGTCAGGCAGCCCAGGTCGCCCAGGCGCATCTTCATCGCCGATTATCAATGAAGGCGCAACGCACGCGCCGAGTCATTTTTTATCGTGTCAAACGGTCTTATCAGCCGGCGAACCTTGTCAAACGGCGAGCTGACACGCCGCGTATAATCAGTCGCGCTTGCGAGAACAATTTCGCGTGGGAAACGCGCGAAAAGCCGCGCGTCTAATTGTAAGGCGAGCGAAACAGTGCCGATATATATATATATATATATATATATATATATATATATATATATATATATATATATATATATATA